TGAGTGCACCCCCCCTTGTATAAGAGAGACTTAATGCTTCTCTTTCTGCCTCTCTTACTCTTAGTCTAGTCCAGTGGTTTGGAGAGGAAGGCGGCAGACGGGATTGCAACCCGTAATCTGCGCCAAGGCCTTTGTGGGAGGTTCGCCCCACCGATTGCGGGAGCTCTGCCGGAACTCAAGAGGAGTTATGGAGGCAGGGAACTCAGAGGTAACCATTGCTTTCCCTCATAAACCCAGTATAACCCCTACCTACATTCCTCCCTATGTATTGTTTGGCTATGCTAAGTGCGACCTCTACTTTGACTTTTGGATTGACTTTCAGGACACAAATCAGACCAACTAAAGGAATGCTTGTATAAATGGCAGTTTCAGTTTCTTTGACTGCCTGAAAGCAGATTGTCACAAGGGGTTGCATCAAGGGAAAGGTTGGGAGGAAAGCAATTTTGTTTGCGATTGAACGGGTCTTACAGGGTCAGGCATTGTTTCTAAGATGAATGGCCTGACTGCTATGTTTTGTTCTGTTTTTTGAAGGACCAARCAYTGTTTYTAAGATGAATGGCTTGGTCGCTGTGTTTCTTTAATTGTGYCAGGCATTGTTTCTAAGATGAATGGYCTGGCTACTTATTTYTGAGGGGTATTGTTTGCTWGACTTTTRAKGGCCAGACATTGTTTCTAAGATGAATGGTCTGGTCGYTGTWTATTTTGGGTGGTTTCTGAACAGTCTCTGGGCCAGACCYAGGGGACTCTGTTTTTTTTTGTACTGAAAAGGGGAGGGTTGAGCATTGATTCTAAGATGAATGGYTCATCTCTCCTTGATTGTYTTATTMYGAGGGAGGATTCAGGGYCAGAGGACTAGACATCGTTTYTAAGATGAATGGTCTAAGTCTGAGGCCTCAGGACCATAATGAGAACAAAGGAATAGGAATCTCTATAAATGTTGTAYATATATGGACTTMTATACGAACAAGGCTAGCCAGGCATTGTTTCTAAGATRAATGGTCTGGCTATAGCCGTATCACAAGCAAAGAGAGTATAATCGAGAGCTATAACTGAAAGTAACCTGGGCAGGCTGAGCATTATTTCTAAGATGAATCGCTCAGCCCTACGCCCTCCTTTTGAAGACTAAGGTGCAGAGAASTATATATAACTTGGCTATTTAAACAGTTCAGGGCGACTAAGCATGGTTTCTAAGATGAATGGCYTTAGTCACATGCCCAATGAAGAGAAAAGYAGTTGTGCAACATGTTCGTGTATTACTAAGGCGRAGGGYTGACATGGTTTCTAAGATGAATGGCCAGTCCCAATGCCCTATGTAAGCAGGGTATAAASGGTTAAAACACTGAAAGACTATGAACTAATGTTTGCTAAATCAACTTGGGGATGGTGAGAGTACTTACCTTTGTGGTTTGGCTTGCATGTGGCTGAGTGRCATCACTACCTAGTCTGAGTTTGAGTTGATAGGTAGTTGCTGTAGTGGCTCGCCACGTGCTAGAGCTATATGAGTTAGATTCAAATTCTGCATTTTCTGAAATAATTTTTTTTACTTAGTCTGATTTCTGCATTTATCTGAGGTCTTTCTTATACTTGGGCTTGTATAAATCTTGGTAAGTCAGTTTTCCTACGGGAAGCGCTGCCAAAATTTCTGCAAATCCAAGGAGTTAGTCAAATTTAGGCTTTTCAGATCTCGGCTTGTCTAAGCTACATATATGGCCTAGTAGAAATTTGGAAAGTCTCCCCTTCTAAAGGGAGTGCGACCCAAATTTTTGCTAGGTCAGGGAGTTAGACAAAATTGAGCTTTGAAAAGTCAAAGACTATTCTTGTTTTGGTATTCAGGCTTATATAAATTGTGGAAAGACAGTTTTTCTACGGGAAGCGCTGCCGAAATTTTTTTAGTTCAGAGGAGTTAGATTATATTATAACAGGTGGCAGAGTTGGCAGTCCACTCTGTATAGGGGAAACTCAACCAAAGGTCTACCTTTTCTCCGAACCCTGACTTGGGACTAGGCTCAGACCTAGTTGGCTACTAGGAGGTTAGATGAGATTGCCATATAGAAGATAATTTGCATAAGGCTTATGGGTTTAGTCTTGGGCGTTGGCCTGTCTTATGTTACAGGCCGGCT